GAAAGCATTCAAAAATCAGGCATATAGTTATTCAAATATCTTCGTCAGGCCTAAATAATGAAATGAACCTGAGTGTCTTCCTTTAGAGGAATATTTAATAAACAAATAATAACATTAATGTACTATTATCCACATATGTGCCCTTTCCACCCGAACAGTAAAATTCTAATAAATGGCCTGGACAACCCTTTTTTATATATATTTAGATATTTGAATAACTATATGCCTGATTTTTGAATGCTTTCGATATGAAAGAATAGACAGCCGATATGCGGAGTTTTTTAGAAAAATGTGACCCTCATTAACACTCGATCATAGAACATGCACTTCGGATGTAATTACCTAGCAGGTGTGAAAGGGTTATTTAAGACAACCATCCACCAGCCATCCTTATGGTTCTGACGAAGCTCCGGTGGGCGGAGCGAAACGCGTCTACCCGTGAATGTATGTTACACACGCTATGTGACCTACACAGACGACTGCTTCCCTGAGAAACTGCTGACTTCAACCCCGAAAAAACAACGATGGAGAGACATAATTATACACACGCTATGTGACCTACACAGATGACTGCTTCCCTGAGAAACTGCTGACTTCAACCCTGAAAAAACAACGATGGAGAGACATAATTTCCTCTAAACCACGAATCTAATCAAAAAAAACCCCCTACAAAATCCTCCCCCTACAAATCCCCCTAAAAATCACAGGACTTCCATCTGGATATCTGGACTCGCAAAGGAGGGGAACGAGACGACCAACTGTGAGTACGGCTGACTATGTAACAACTTGAAATAGTCCATCACAGGTCTCCCCCTCGAAAAATACTTGGTTCTTTGGGAGGAATTTATTGATATAGGGGAAGGTTTAGATGATTCAGGAAATCAAGTGAAGGACTTTTTCTCCTTAAAGAGATCCATAAAGAACACGGATATATGGAAGTCCATGACTACATCTTACCTATACAGGAATGTGTCACTTTCAATCTATGGTGAATCACAGAGACTTCCTATATTAATCACCAACTGATAGATAGTATCCATTAGGTATTGGGATACGTGTTCAAAGAGTTTTCCAACTTGATCTATCTTGTCCATACTCCAAATCATCGTCTGTCAAGGGGATCAGCACTGATTACTATCAGGTGCTTTACCTGGGAGCATTCCCTCGTTTCGTTTCTGCAGGGATTGAGCTTGGTCGCAGTGTGTGTGGGGCCCATAGTTTGTATGAATGAATGTTTTGAGTGTCACGAACAACGTTGTTTTTTTTTTTTTATTGCATCAGTAAGAAGTGGAATTGTTGTTGCAAATAATTGATGTTTTGTAAAACATAATAAAGTTTATATTTTTATAAGATTTAATGGTCTGGGTCTGTTTAAGCAACCACTTTCTGTGATCCTCACTTGGAACACTCCCCTGTTTTTTGTTCAGGATTCTCATAAAACCTGAACTTAGAGCTGTAAATTATTTGATCCTTTTTTTTGCTAAAGTATACAGATTCACATTTCACAAAACATAACTCCTGTAGTTTGATATCTCAAATGTAGCTCTCTGTCCATATCAGACAAAATGATATCCGGATGTTCAAGTACTTAGAACACTAATAATATTCATGTGAAATATTCTACATATTCATGTGCAGGTAGAAAGTAATTATTAGCATCCAGCTTCTGTGTGGCAGCCACTCCCTCTGAGAAATGGAGTATGCCAGGTAACACAAGAATGTGAATAATTCATAAGAGTGCATCCATCCAGTGTATCAAATCACATGGATGTCTTCAATCAACTGTAAGGTAGCTTGTTATATGTTTGTAATCTAGGGATATCTAGAGCCCAAGTCAACTACAATTGCTATAACGCAATGTCCATATGGTACACATCCTCAATAAATATGCATCCAGTTTCCATGTAGCAGAGCTACAATTCAGACAATCCACTAGAGATGATTTTGTAAGTGCAGATAAACCAGTTATTGGTATCTGACCTCTGTGTGGCAGCCACTTCTTCTGAAAACATTTGTCTTTCAGGTAACACAGGAACATGGGTAGATCATATAATGTTGCAATGTTCCAATAATTCACATGAATGTCCTACAATAAAAACATTTTGCACACCATGAGATAGCTTGTAATATGTTTGTAATCTGCAACCAGATCAATCCCAAGTCAGTTGCAATTGTTGTGCAATGTCAATGCAGTAAGCATCCACTTGTTTGTTTAAATCATCACAAGCAGTTATATACAGCATATAAAGCTGATTAATGGAAGGTCCACCGTGAGCATATCTCACCAATATCTCCAGTGGTTTGTGTTTGTTTATATTGGCTGCACAGCATATTGCTTCTCAACATGGCAAAGTGCACCAAACAAAGCACGCCTCTCCAGCCCTAATGTTTAAAAGCTTGAGCAAAGGTCACGTGTAGCAGTATTCCACAAAAACCACTGCCAAGCAGTAGTTATCCATCCTCTATGTTAAATGAACCATCCTGTTCCAGAAAGTGATCAAATTCATTCTAGCCTATCCAGTGACCCTTCATTTTCAGACACAAGATGGGAAATAGCAATCGTCCAAGATCTGGACAAGACAACTTTCACCATAAAGCCCGAGAACCAAAACAACCAGGCGATACCTCCACTCCAGATGATAACTGGTCTTCATCACCGCCTGCTTCCCCAACAAAGAACATCTAGCACTGACTTACATCCAGCATTTCTGCATTTCCCTATACCTTATACACTGACAGAACTTTATCACTTATTTATACTTTGTATAAGTTCTCTGACTCCTTGTAGACTCTGGTCACATGTTTTTCTTCTTAGGGTGGTGTGAGTCACTACTCTTAAAGGACCACTAACGTGAAAGCAGAGCCATTATGTCTGATTCATATGTTCATGTAAATGCCCAGGCCCTATTTCTAAGAAACCTCTACTGACCATGCCACCTTCTTCAATGGCTCCCACATGGGCTTACACTATACGACTATTCTATATGCTAATTGTGCCTCTGTCCTATGATACTTCAGCCCTCAATGGACCAAATCCATGATATCTTTTACACAGTTTCTCCTCAAGCTATTTGGAGTGATGAGATATTGCTACCCACTTTTACTAGGAAAAAAACAAATTCCATACATATTCTTTCACATTTTGTTACTTACAGTTTACTGAAACCTTTTACATGTACTTTAACACAATGCACATTAAATGAGAAAATACCACCCCTTTAAAATGTTGCTGTAAGGTACTGCAACAGACCAGGAAGGTCTGAATAGGCCCTTAAACACAAAATGCAATAGTTATTTGCATTCTATCCATATGACAGTATCAGTCTGCAATATAATATGTTTGTTTTCTTCTCCCTTTTTAATCCAGTTTCAGGATCACTATGAGAAATCTAGCATGAGCAGTAGCAGCAGCAGCAGCGGAATAGCAAGCTGTAAGAGTGACGTTTCTGAGAGCGCTATCATTCCACTGGGTCTTCTACAGCCACATAGCTCTGAAAAGGGATCAGATGTGTTCTTTCCAAATCATAGCCACTCCATGGACAATGCTGCTAAAGGTGACACTTGTTGGGATTCTTAATTTGTAAAGGTGGGGGACCTCATTCATAACTATGCACCGCTATGTGTTGTAGTACCCCCTGTTCTTGTTAATTTCCTATGAACCTTCAATGTGTGTCTACTCACCCCTGACCTGTTTTTCCCAATGTATTGCAACACAGTACATGTGTGTTTTTGGTTTATGCGTTGTGATGCATTGACTGTCATGTGCATTATTTAGTATGTGAGATTGTTGAGGGCCCATTACAAATGAATCAGCTTGAGAGGGGCTTCCCTTCATTTACTGACTTGGAAATACCATATGGGACAGCAAAAATATGACAGCAGGTATTTTAACCATTCCATACTCCTATCTGCAGCAAAAAATATGGAAAAATGCCAAATCTTGTAGAGAAGAGGAGATGACTTCATATGACTTGGGGAAACAGGGAAGCCTGAAATAAGAGCAACATGTATGCTGCCGTTGCTGACTTCTTTTTGAAACCTAAAATGCATTGCTACAGCTGGTTTCAGTACTTTACCAGTCACTGACTCACAACAAGTAATCTAGAAGTGAAATTAGTCTGATTGGCATACTTCTTCCAGATTAGTGACTTAGAAAGTATTGAAGTGACTGGATCAGTATTACAGACGGGAAATTGGCTGTCTCAGCACAGATTTCCTTTAAGCTGTACAGAGTATTGTGTCTCTTCTTAACAGTGTCTGCACCAGCTATCATTCTCCTTCAAGTCTTCTTTGTTTTATAGACAAGTGTCTCTAAATGGACATGTAGGTAAAATAAGGGAACATTGAAAGATTACTGATCACTTTTTTTTGTCAGCATGATTTGTGATTGTCCCATAATACACTGTCCAGCTTTTACCTAGTTTCCTCACCATGTATTAAAGATACATTTCAACCATACCTTCACTCTTGCACAGTTCTACAGGTTCCTTTTCTGTACTGAAATTGCTTATCCTGATTTTACTACACGCTGTGAGCTTCACACAGTGCGCACTGGAAGTTGCAGGAAGTCGCATAGAACCCACCTAATTTCCTTGCTGGAGAACATTCAGGATTATCTAGCCCTTTCCCTCCCCAGCATAACTGTCCCTGGCCTGATCCCTTTCATTTACCTGACAAGTTTACACACTGTAGTTAAACAAGTCTAAGGGTAGGTGCATAACAACAAAAAGAGGTAGGAAAACTGTTGCCCTTCTCTGCTGGCAGTTCAGTTCTCGCACACAAAAATTCAGAAACTATGGAGGCACAGCAAAAATGAGGACCTGGCTGGACTGTACTGGCTGGCAGTCTGGAAAATGTTATATACAGAAATCTATTACTGACAGTCAGCAATATGCCACTCTAAGCCATGTTGTCTGTGCAGAAATTCAGCGATAACTCTTATTCTGCGATTACCTGTACTCTTCTGATAGAAACTGCATAGTTATTCTGCCAGGAGATCAAGGTCTACTGTTAACTTGAGAACTGGAAAGAACCATTGAAATTTTGCATGTTGACCATTGTATGTCTCTGTAGTAAAGAAACTTTTAGCAGTTTGGGCAAGCCTGGATATAACATTATGCAAGCTTATATCAGACTTAATCAAAAGAAAGTGGTTCCTTGTTAGCTGCAGAATAAACTCAGTGAAATACTTTTGAAGATTAATCTAACACTAATCGTGATGGCTCTAAAAATAAGAAAAGCATAGATGACAAAAAACATCCAAGATTCAAAAGGGTCCCTTTGGTTCCTTTTCTGCCTTCAAAGCTTGCAATGAATTCCAGTATAATTTACAGATAAAACTTTTTATTTTGTTACTTAGAACTAGAAATGTTCCCAGATGAATTCTATTTGCTTTCTAGGATATCAAATATCTGTGATCATAAAACCTTCTAAGATCAATTATCACTTCTGGAGCTGATTGTTAGCCCATGTGACAAACAGATACAGAAAGGCTAGATGAATTTAGGGGAATATAATGATGCAGATATAATAATGAGCTGTGTTAAATGTGTAAGGATGCTAGTTTATCAGCAAAACTACACATTGCTCGTCCTAAATAGGCTGGTCTTCAAAAATGGATAACTTCAAGAAGCAAGATTAGGCCAAAAAAAACACATATTGGCTGATCCTAAGCATCATGGTTGGATGAATACAATATGGATGCAAAGAAGATCAGAAACAAGAGATGATTGACTGTTGCCAGTCATAGGGAAGAAAGAAGAAGTAAAGGCAACTCTTATTTTAGTCATTTCAATAAATGAGACCATAAGATTGTTTACACAGGGAAAAAAAGGGCCATTTTAGCAGCAGTTTTGTCAAGATTGCCATCTTTCTGTTGAGAATGTAGAAATTGCATGTAGGATTCCGTGTAGTGATGCAACTTCTTTCACTGCAACTTATACCATCATGTTTTTTTCTCTCTTTCTTCAGACGTATTTTCTGAACTTGAAGATGAGACAGATATGTCTTATAATTCAAGTTGTTCTAGCTACTTGAAAGGATGCACCCCAGGTAAGTCAATATATTTAAGATGCAGTTACCCAAACCAAGCAGTCAGATCTTAGTTTACCTACAATAGAACACTATAAATTAACTGCTTTATAGATTTAAAGAACTCCAGCTGGATTGACTTTATTAAGGTCATATAGAAATGTTTTCCTTATTTTGAAGATGTAATTAAAAGAGTTTGGGTGATTTTGTGGATATTATGAGCTTTACATGGCTCCTGAGTGTTATGGAAGCTCATTTCATTTATTTCTATGATGGTTATTCACAAAGCTGCCGAAGGGAAGTGGAGTGAGCCGAGTGCTGTTCGGCTATTTACTTCAGGCTTGTGCAGCTGATTTAATAAAAATAAAGATTATTGAACACATTTAAAAAGAAAACAATTGGGCGGAGCTAGCAATGACAGCTAGATCTGCCCAACTGTTTCCTATTGACTGGGACCTGCTAGAGTATTTTAGCAGATGCCAGCCAATGAATAACATCTGGGCGGAGCTGGCCGTGATGTCATGGCCGGCTCTGCCAAGTTGTCATTTTGTTTTGTCATTGCTAACCTGGGTACGCTGATCTGTTATTGCAACTGGGCGGAGCTACCTGTGAGATCACAGCTGGCTCCTCCCAGCTGTCAGTTGCGACGCTTCGGGTTTCACTTCGTCTCACTCGAGCTGAAGCATATGCCTTCGGCTCGGCTGAGCTGCTCGGCCAGCTTCAGGAGCTGTATGGGCTATAGTGAATAGCCCGTACAGCAGCCCTTCGGTTCTACTGAACCGAAGTGCTCCAGCGGCCGAAGCTAGCTGAAGGATCAGCCGGAGCTACGGCTGACCCTACAGCTAGCTTTGTGAATAACCCTCTATATTTAAAAAACATTTTGAATATTTTTAAAAACATTTATTTTAAACAACGTTTTTTTTAAATGTTTTTTTTTTTTTTCCAGTAGCACATAGAGTGCACATAGAAAGATATAAATTAGCAACTGTCACTGCCATGGTTTTGTTGATAAACATACTATTGCAGACATGGTTATGAATGGCTTAGTTGATAAACAAAATCCATTTATTATCACCACTAACCTGGTGTTATTCAACAAAGCTGTGTAATCACCATGTAAGCAATAACAGATTGTTAGCCCTCGTTCACACCTGAACGTTTTGTAGCGCGTTCTACGCTCGACGAACGCTCTACAAAACGCTCAAAAAAATAAATCCCATTGTATTCAATGGTCTCGTTCCCACCTTGGCGTATTCCCGCCTGTCCCTAACGCGCTACAAAACGGCCCACGCCTGAAAAGGTACAGGTACTACTTTGGGCCGTTTTGTTGCGCGTTTCCATTGGGATACAGCCAAGTAGCCTTCGGAAACGCGCGACGGTCGCGCAACTTTTTTACCGGGAATCGCGGTAAAAAACGCGCGACGGTCGCGCATATGCAATACGCCTAGGTGTGAACGAGACCTTAGGGTTAGCATTATCAACAGTTATAAGTTTGGCTTTATCAATAAAGTTGTCATGGCTAACATCACATAGCTCTGTAAGAAAACCAGGGCATGTGGTTTTTGAAGCAGATTTCTACATGGAAAAATATGAAGCCACTTTTACTGAAACTTTGGAGAAGACATCATTTTAATGCAAAATCAGATTTGTTGAAATCTCACACTCATCCCGAGTCCGCACTGCTACACTGCATAGATCACATACTGGTGTTTGATACAGGACTCAGGAACAGAGGTCACAATCTCAGTAAGAGCTTGTTGCCAATACTGTGTTTATTAAATCATAGTGTGTATATTATCCAAAGGAATTATTAAAGTGTATCTAAACCCAAAAAGAAGAATGTAATATACTGCAGCTTACCAGTTCTTAGATGTGGTGACTGAATTTGTTTTTTTAACGGGCTTTTCCCCATTATTTTCAGCTGGTAATCTTGCAGAAAACACGCTTTCTGTCCCTAGGTGGCTTAAAGGTAATTTCTTCATTGAAGAAGCCATTGTTGCCACCCAGGCTAGGAGTCAAGCATGTCTTTCTCATTTCAACTACATTACAGGGTGGGTGGGGGACTAGTAGTTTACAGAACAGATGTAAGATTGTTTTTGCTTCTAGTCCATCTCAAATGTCTCCATGTCAAGTAAAAAGGACACTATTTCTGGCAAGAAAGAGTATTTTCTGTTCTTGCTAACAATGTTCTTAGCCTGAAAAAAAAAATATTCTAACCACCTCATCTAAGGACTGGTAAGCTTCAATATAGTCTTTAAATTTAGCATCATAATAAATGCACATTAATTTGTGTAGATCACTACATTTGTATTTGGGCTGTTGCTATAAAATTCTTACTCAGCCTGAAGTTCTCCTTTAACCTACAATCTTCTGGACTACTAATCCAAAATAAGAAACATCTGAAAGATCATACAATACTGACTAAAGACTAATTCAAATACTGTTGATGTGCAGTAAAATTCCTCCCAGAAGAAATAAACACAATAATATGCAAATCAAGAGCTTTCTAAAGTTGAAGCAGCATGGGGCCAATTAATCAAAGAGAAAACTACAGCACAATCATACATTCAAATTTATCAACTGTGACTATTTAATTAGAGAGTGAGAATAATCTGTACATGAGAAGGACGGCTATAACAAATGTGTGCACTGCACAGTCCCACACCGTCACCAAGCAAAGACACTTATTTATATAGTAACGTTAGGATATCCTTCATTTTATAATATTTTGAAACACAAAAATAATTTGCATCTTTATTTTAATTTTTATAAATGAAAGTTTGAGAATATCTGAGACACATTTGCAGATCATTACACTGGATAAACAAAACATATGTCAACAGGTCATGTAAAAATGTGTTTCTATAAATCAGTTTTAAGAGTGTAATCATGTATATATTTACACAGTAATCTCACCAAACATTTAATTAAAATGAGCAGTCTGTTCCATTGTCTGATTCCACCTGCTGCATTTACTACATTGTTTTTTCAATGAGGTTCAGAAGTTTTATTGAGATGCTCAAGCAGACAGAGTGAAAACAGTTTGACCAATAATGACTATGATTTTTTTTTAAAGTATTGCATCACAAGTAGTTTTAGATTATTAAAGCGGAACTCTACCTAAAATGGTTTATTACATTTCAGAAAGAGTAGTGTTCACTCCCCCACTTGGTTCTTAAAGCTACACTGTAGTTAAAATAAAAAATTAAACCTTCAGATGCATACAAGTAGCAAACCTACTAATGGTATTTGTCCTTAATGTAGAACTTTCAGGTTATAGACAATAACATATGTATATTCTCATCCAAAAGTAATTAAGCATTAAAACAAACTATCAAACTATCACTGGCCAATGTGGCTGCATGCACTGTGGAGTAATTATATTATA